CTCAGGCAATCCACTCACCTCAGCCTCCCAAGGGTGCGGGATTACAGGCTGAGCCACTGAGCCCAGCCAGAATTTATTTATTAAAAATTGTGTATTTATTCTTACATACTTAAACTTCGGTCACCTTCAAAACACTCTCCATTTGATGCAATATACCTGTCAAGGTGCTTTTTCCGGTGTTCTCAACAGTTTTTGAACTCATTGATTTTGATGTCTTTTAGTGCTTCTGTGTTTTTTGTTTCATCTCTTCCACATCGGCAAAATGTTTTCCTTTGAGGACTTTTTTTCCTCAGGGAAATAAACCAAAAAAAGGTTGCTCAGGGAGAGATTAGGTGAATAGGGAGGTCAGGGCACTGGGCTCATGCTGGTTTTGATCAAAAACTACTAAACACTCAGCATGGTGTGGGCAGATATGCTCATGAATCACCCATCATGAAATGGGCAAACATGCTGAAGGAATCTCTAAAAAAATTCACTGAAGCCAAATGCAGCCTCTCACAACAATGTTAGCAGATACACTAGTTTGGACGGGTTCCTAGAACCCTTACCTAGTGGGGGAAACCTGTCCTACAAGGGCCCTGCCCTGCAAAGGATAATTCTGGTTTGGGGGAGTCCCCCACAGTATGCAGTAGCTAAAGCAATCAGATACATAGAGATGGAAAGAAGGATGGTGGTTACTGAGGACTGAAGGGAGGGGGATGGGGAGTTAGTGTGGAATGGGTACATAGTTTCAGTGGGGAAGATGAACTTCTGGAGATGGATGGTGGTGATGGTTGTACAACAGTGTGAATGTACTTAATGCCACTGAACTGTACACTTAAAAAAGATTAAAAGAGCCGGGCTCGGTGGCTCAGCCTGTAATCCCGCGCCTTTGGGAGGCTGAGGTGAGTGGATTGCCTGAGCCCGCGGGTTCGAGACCCGCCTGGGCAGCGAGACCTCATCTCTGCAATAAATCAAAAAATCAGCCGGGCATGGTAGCGCATGCCTGTAATTCCGGTTACTTGGAAGACTGAGGCAGAAGGATCGCCGGAGCCCAGCAGGTAGAGGCTGCGGTGGCTGGGAGCAGCCACTGCACTCCAGTCTGGGCGACAGAGTGAGACTCCAACTCAAAAAAATAAAAAAAAAAGATTAAAAGGGTAAATTTTATTCCAAGTATATTTTGTAAAAAAAAAGTAAAAAAATTAAATATTTCCTTCATTCTTATCTACATTACCTGTCAGTCCATGGACTCTAGAGGAAAATTGGAAAATTACTGATTTAGCCAAATTAGTTTCTGGGCCTCAGTCTTACCATCTGTGAAATGGAATTATTGGCTGGAGTTTCCACGATTCCAAGTAGGGATGTTGTGTCAGAAGAGGGGTGATGTGGAGAAATAACCCTTATGGAGGGTAGGAGGCACAGGACTATATAAATGAACATTGATGTCTACTGGATTTTGAAACTCTAACAGGTCAAACATCTAATTATTTTATTTTATAAAACTATTTTTAAAATTTAAATTATAAAATCTCTAAGTATAGCAATTATTAACAGATGTTCATATTTTGTCATATATATTATATATTTTACCTTTCAATTTTATTTAACTACCCATGAGAGCAGGACTTTTTAACTCTTTATTGACTGCTGTATTCTCAAAGCCTAGAATAGTTCCTAGCACATCGTACAAATTCAGTTTAAAAAAAAAACTACAGGCGCATGCTACCACACCCAGCTAATTTTTGTAGAAATGAGGTCTCTCCAAGTTGCCCGGGCTGGTCTCAAACCCACGAATTCAGGCAATACACTTGCTTCGGCCTCCCAAAGTGCTGTGATTACAGGTTGAGCCACCGAGCCCAGCCTGGAACAGAAAATTTTAATTTTAATGTTTTTAAATGCATCAGTCTTTTCTTTTATGGTTTGTACTTTATGTGTCTTCTTTAACACATTTGTTCCTATCCTGAATTGATAAACACATCTTTTTATCTAAAATTTTATATTAACTTTTTATTTAGAAATAATTTTAAACTTATAGAATGTTGCAAAAATAAAACCATGCAAAAGACACTCAAATACCCTCTACTTAGGTTCATCTATTGTTAACATTTTACTCCATTTTTTTAATCATTTGAAACAGATAATATATACAAATACTATATATCATATGTAATATGTATGATGTATATTTTTTCTGAACTACTTGAGGGTAAATTATGGACATGATTCTTTTTTTTTTTTTTTGAGTTGGAGTCTCACTCTGCACTCTGTCACCCAGACTGGAGTGCAGTGGCCGCTCCCGGCCACCGCAGCGTCGACCTGCTGGGCTCCGGCGATCCTTCCACCTCAGCCTTCCAAGTAGCTGGAACTACAGGCGCGCGCTACCACACCCGGCTGATTTTTGATTTGTTGTAGAGATGAGGTTTCGTCAAGTTGCCCAGGTGGGTCTCGAACCCGCGGGCTCAGACAATCCACTCATCTCGGCCTCCCAAAGTGCTGGGATTACAGGCTGAGCCACCCAGCCTGGCCTGGACATGATTCTTTACCACTAAATACCTCAGTGTGTATTTCCTGCAATTAGGGATAGTCTAACATAATACAGCACAGTTATTAACTTCATAAATTTACATTGATAACTTTTATTGACTCTCCTGCAATATTCCAATGTTGTCAGTTGCCAATTTGTTGTTGATGTTGATGTTCTTTATAGCACTTTTATAACCCTATAACCTTATAGTATTTTTTAAAAATCCTATAGTGCAGGACCCAAACCAGGGGCAGGTGTTGCACTTAATTGTCAGGTCTTTTTAGCTTTATTTAACCTGGAGCAGTTCTTCAACCTATGTTTGCCTTCTGTGGCATTGACATTTTTGAAGATTACAGTCCCTCTCCCGCCTCATTTTCCTCAGTAGAAAGTTGCTCATTTTCTGTTTATCTGATGTTTCCCTGTGATTAGATTGAAATCATGCTGGAATGCTGCAGAGATGTCACATTGTGCAAGATATATTGTGCCCTTCTCAGGGTAACTAGAGGTGCATGATGTCTATCTGTCCCTCGCTGGCTAATTTGGATCACCTGGTCAAAGTGTTGCCCTATTTTTCCATTGCATAATGATTGCTTTTTATTTTTTCAGTACTCTTCCAACTCATGGCAATCTGTAGGACTTTAAGACCATGCAATATCCTGCTCCTCATAGAAATTTCCCCCTAGCTTTAGCATCCACTGATGATTCTTATCTGATTCAGGCTTTGCCATGATGTTTAAAAAATGATTCATTTAAGAGTTTTTTTTCACATGTAGGCCTTTAACCTGAATTGATTTATGGTGTGACATAGGGATTGAATTCTATTTTCCCCCATATGGTGAATCAGCTCCATTTGTTGGAGTTCATTCTTTCCTCGTGGGTAAGATATATCCACATCTTCATACATTTGCTGTGCTTATTTCAGTACTCTTTATTCTGTCCCACTGGTCTATTTGTTTATCTCTGTGCCAGTACTACAGTGTGACTTTATAACAAAACTTGATATCTTGTAGGGTGTCTCCCATCATGTTCTGTAAAACTGTCAACTATTCTTGCCATCCAGGCAATTATATTCACTTTCACAATCCTCAGAAAGATTAAGTAATTTCCCAAAGTCACCAAACCAGTAAGGACTTTGAACCCAGGTCTGTTCAAGGCCAAAGCTGTTTTCATTATTTCCTTGGGTTCTGCCTTCCTCAGGCCAAAAGGACGGTTTTCTCGGCCGGGGAAGTGAAGGTCAAGGAATCAAGTGTGGTGAGAGAGGAGAGGTGGGAGAAAAAAGGCAGGCAGGTGTCCGACTGGTTTGAGTTTGGTCTCTGGGATATAGACTTTACCAGCCAAAGGATGAAGCTTGAACTTGGCTGGCAAACCTGGAAACAGAAGATTGTAAGAAACGGAACTGGGAGGATCCCTCCTTAGGACTGATCACTCGTAGGTGTCCATGGGTGCATCCTGTCACTTTCTCAAAGAGCAGGGCATTGCCCGGCCTTTTGGTGGGGATGATGATGGTAGGGGCTAGGAAGCTATGAAGAAATAAAGGCTGGCAGCCTGGAAGCCAAGACAGATCCCACCCCAGAAAGGCGCAGCAGGGGCTTTCATCCTCCACTAGCCCGCCCCTCCCTGCCTAATTAAGGGACCCTAATCAGCTTGAGGAGATTAAGGGCTCTGACCGGCTGTTCCCACACCCCCGCCCTGGCCTGGGCTGGCAAGATAGAGCTGTGGGCGGGCGTCAGAAGGGGGATCGGCCCTGTGACCCCTCACCCGGGCCCTGGGCCCGAGGCCCGGACTTTCCGGTGAGTGGCAAAGGCCCCTGAGCACCGACCCGGTCTGAGGGCGTGGGCGTGTCCCCACCGACCCCTGTCGGCTCGGATGATGAGGGAGGGGCAGACAAGGTGGGAGCGAGAAACAGGGGAGGCGGAAGGGGGCTTCCAGGCCATGTCCTTGATCCCCTAATCGTCCAAACCCGCGTGGGGGTTAGAGGACAGGAGAAGCAGAGACATCCCGCGCTTCATCGGGCTTGAGAAACTGAGGGTTGAGGAGAGGCCCCTAAGGGCGTCCTGGGCGTCTCGGTCGCTCATCCAGCTCCGTCTATGTTCACAGAAGCCGGCAATGCCCGCCTGCGCCCGCCTAGCGGGGGGGCTTCCGGACCCCCGACTCCGCCCCGCCCGGCGGTGGGCTCGGTCCCGGGCCGGCCTCTCGGGGGCCCTGCCCTGGCTGGGGCCTCGGCTCCGGCTCTGGCTCGTGCTCCTGCTGCTGCTCCTTCCGCCCGCCGGCGTCTCCGCAGTATTCACAGTGGGGGTCCTGGGCCCCTGGAACTGCGACCCCATCTTCGCCCGGGCCCGCCCGGACCTGGCCGCCCGCCTGGCCGCCGCGCGCCTAAAGCGCGACCCTGCGCTGGCAGGCGGCCCCCGCGTTGAGGTCGCGCTGCTGCCCGAGCCGTGCCGGACGCCGGGCTCGCTGGGGGCTGTGTCCTCCGCGCTGGCCCGCGTCTCGGGCCTCGTGGGGCCGGTGAACCCTGCCGCCTGCCGGCCGGCCGAGCTGCTAGCGGAAGAAGCCGGCGTCGCGCTGGTGCCCTGGGGCTGCCCTGGGACGCCGGCGGCCGGCACCACGGCCCCGGCCGCCACCCCCGCCGCAGATGCCCTCTATGTCCTCCTCCGGGCGTTCCGCTGGGCGCACGTGGCCGTGGTCACCGCCCCCCAGGACCTGTGGGTGGAGGCAGGTCGCTCACTGTCCGCGGCACTCAGGGCGCGGGGCCTGCCCGTCGCGCTGGAGACCTCCATGGAGCCCCCGGACCTGTCTGGAGCCCGGGAGGCCCTGAGGAAGGTCCGGGAGGGGCCCAGGGTCAGAGGTAGGCTCCCTGCGGGGTGCGGGGGTGGGGGGAGATCGGCAGGCGCTGCGGGCAGCGGGGTCGCCGCGAGCCAAGCCTCTGTGTCCGCAGCAGTGATCATGGTGATGCACTCGGTGCTGCTGGGCGGGGAGGAGCAGCGCTTTCTACTGGAGGCTGCAGAGGAGCTGGGCCTGGCCGATGGCTCCCTGGTCTTCCTGCCTTTCGATACGCTCCACTACGCCTTGTACCCAGGCCCTGAGGCCTTGGCTGCACTCGCCAACAGCTCCCAGCTTCGCAAGGCCTACGATGCCGTGCTCACCCTCACACGTCACTGTCCCCCTGGGGGCACTGTGCTGGACAATCTGCGCAGGGCCCAAGAGCTCCAGGAACTGCCACCCGGCCTCAATCTGCAGCAGGTAGATGGGCCCGGGGGGATGGAAGAGTGGGGAGAGGAGGCTGGAGTCACTGGAAAGGAGCATGGAGCCCTGGAGAGAGAACTGCTAGCAGTTCTAGCTGTTTTGGGAGGTGTGGAGTCTCTGGTCCTGCGTGGGACATATGAGTGTACAGGGAGTGCCTCCGGTGAGGAGGTAATGAGAACTTTCAAGTCCAGCATCAAGCAGTAAACTCTAACTCTCAACTACAAACCTTACCGTTTCCTTCAAAGCAAACCCATTCCCAGCACCACAATACACCTACTATAATAAACACTTGGTATTCTCAAGTGAGCAGGAAGGAAGGAAGATGCTGATCTAACAATCTTCATGTCTAGTTCAGAGGTATTTCATCTGGGACCTTCTCTTGTGGTCTTAACTTTTTAAGGACCTAGACATCTTCAAAAAACAGAAAGGTCCCTGGGTGGAGCCAGGGACTCCCCTGTTCAGATCCAGGGTTTATTTTCAATAACCAGCTAATACTTAGGATTCCCCAAGTCCCCAGAATCTCAGTTCAGATCATTTAGCTCCACTTCAGTCACAAAAGGAGAGCTAGAAACCACTAAGAGAGAAAGACATTTAGATGTCAGTGGGTAGTGCATTAACCACCACAAAGACGCAACTCAAAGGGGACTACATTAAAGAGGGTGGTGGAACAAGGAAGTTGCAATATTTCTCACCAATGCATCGTCCAAGAGGATTGGGACATGGAGACAGAGAGAATGGAAATAAGAGTTAGGATAAGAAAAGAATAAGAGTTAGTAACAGTGGTAAGTTGGGATGGAGGGAGGGACTGTCAGTAGAGAAAGAAGTGTAAGAAGTGGAGAAAAAAAGCCCTTAATTTCTCAGTAACTAGCACAGCCACTCACTCAAGCTGCCCAAGTGAGACCCATGGGAGTCACTCTTGATTCTTCTCTTTGTCCCCACAACCAGACATCAAGCCCTGTCACTTTTACTTCCTAAAGGCCATTTGAATTCATCCACTTCCTCCAACCCAAATCCTAAAACATGGTCTCCCAAATGGTCTCTGCTTCAACTCTCAACTGCTCCAAGCCTTTCTTCACCCAACAACCAGATCAAGCTTCAGAAATTTGATGAATCCGACTATGTTGTGCCCTGTTCAAAGAATCCCAGTGACTTCTGTTGCCGTGGATAGATGCAGGTTCTCTTCACACAGTTTTACTAGGCCTCATGTCTTTCTCTCTCTTCATCTTCCATGAACTTCAACCACACCAACCTACTTGGGTGTCCTCTTTTGCCACTGAACTGCTTGCTGGATGTGCTATTTTCTTTTTCCTGCCCTTACCCTCCTTTGGATAATTCTGACTCATCCCCTGAGGTCACTTCTTTTTGAAGCTACTCCTCCTCTCCAAGTCTGGGTTGGGGACCCTTGGTCCCGTGTCTGTAGCTTCCCCAGTTCCCCCTAACCTCACTTCTTGCACTATCTTAACATCCTTGTTTTACTTTAAGAGTAAAGTTCCTTGACACAGGTACTGTCTTGTATACTGATATATCTTTAGTGCTTTGCACAGTGCCTGGCACTCTGAGAGATGGGAGCTGTGAATCACAGAGAGGGCTGATAAGATGAGATAGTAAGCTGGGCTCGGTGGCTCAGCCTGTAATCCCGCGCCTTGGGAGGCTGAGGTGAGTGGATTGCCTGAGCCCGCGGGTTCGAGACCCGCCTGGGCAACTTGGTGAGACCGCATCTCTACAATAAATCAAAAAACTAGCCGCGTGTGGTAGCAAGCGCCTGTAATTCCAGCTACTTGGAAGGCTGAGGTGGAAGGATCGCTGGAGCCCCAGCAGGTCGAGGCTGCGGTGGCCAGGAGTGGCCACTGCACTCCAGTCTGGGCGACAGAGTGAGACTCCAACTCAAAAAAAAAAAGGATGAGATAATAATCTTGGTGGTGGGGGGGGGGGGGGAGAGAACAGAAAATAGAATCCAAACAAAAGATAGGAAAGAAAGCTTTTAGGTGAATGGTAGGTGATTTTAAAACTATATGCAAGGCAACCTTTGGAGAAGGGAGGAGCTACAGGTGATGGAGAGTTAGAATCAACTAATGATGAAAAAAGAGTCAAAGTACCAAAAAGAGGGACAGTCAGTGGGAAGAACTGGTGGAAAAGCCAATGAGGGGGGAGGAAGTGATAGCCAAGGGGAGGAAGGAAGAGATAGCCAATGAGGAGGGAAGGAAGGATCGCCAAAGAGGAGGGAGAAAAGGACAGCCAATAGGGAGAGAGGAGGAAATAGCCAAGGGGGAGAGAGAAGGGGATAGCCAATCGGGAAGGATGCGGGGAACCACTAACTAGGAGATGAGAACAGGCAATACGCTTGACTTGAAGGGCCAGTGAAAGAATGGGCGGAGCCAGTGGGTTCTTGTTTGCTAATGGGTGGTGACCCCCGACCCCTGAGTCCTCCACTCTCCTTCTCCAGGTCTCCCCGCTCTTTGGCACCATCTATGACGCAGTATTCTTGTTGGCAAGGGGTGTGGCAGGAGCGCGGGCAGCTGCAGGTGGTGGCTGGGTGTCCGGAGCAGCCGTGGCCCACCACGTCCGGGATGCCCAGGTCCCTGGCTTCTGCAGGGCCCTAGGAGGAGCCAAGGAGCCCTCGTTCGTGCTGCTGGACACGGACGCTGCAGGAGACCGACTGTTTGCCACGTACATGCTGGACCCCGCCCAGGGTTCCCTCCTCTCCGCTGGGACCCCGGTGCACTTCCCTTTTGGGGGACCGGCGCCTGGCCCCGACCCTTCGTGCTGGTTCGATCCAGATGTCATCTGCAACGGAGGTGAGGGCGAGCACCTCAGTCCCCACTGGGACAGTAACCATGGACGTCAACAAAGTGGAAAAGAGTGAACTCCCATCCTGTAATTCTTCCACGCCATGTGGGTCCTCTTACAACCCCTGGCATGCACAGGATTCCTCTCTTGTAGAGCCCAAAAGCCTTCTTGAAACCTCTGTAGCATTCTCAGACTCTCCCCTCTGAGGAATCTGTTACCCTCCCTTAGAGTCCGTCAAGTTTCCTATTCCCCTTTCCTGGAGCCTCCAGTATTTGGCATGATTGTATGCCTACCTAGAGGCCTCCCCTGGCCACTTTCCTGAGCGTACCTCCTCTCACTGTCTCTTCAGGAGTGGAGCCAGCCCTCGTCTTTCTTGGCTTCCTCATGGTGGTTGGGATGGGGCTGGCTGGGGCCCTCCTGGCCCATTATGTGAGGTGAGTAGAGGAGTGAGGTATGTGGGAGGGGATCTTGACTCTCCACTTGCCGGAAATGAAATTGTGCAACAAAAACAGCAGACTGGGTCTGCTCAAGAATAGAAGAGGAGAGAGTTTTTCTTGGGTGTGGGAGTGGGATCCTGGTCAGCTGGCAGAGTCCCAAGGGATGTCTGGGATGACTGGCTTGGCATGGCTGCCCTCCAGGACCCCTCCTCTGAACGAACGTTGTTCCTCCACCCCACCCCCTGCTGACCTCTTCCCATGGACCTTGGTTCCCTTTGTGGAGATGACCTCATTTCCCCAACAGGCACCGGCTACTTCACATGCAAATGGTCTCCGGCCCCAACAAGATCATTCTGACTGTGGATGACATCACCTTCCTCCATCCACATGGGGGCAGCTCTCGAAAGGTGGGGGAGGCAGGGAACCAGGAGCAGCAGTCTTCTCCCTGTATACTTGGTTCCTTCCCTGGGCTAGCCCTCACCCGAGCCTCCCACATAGGAGGCCTGATTTCTGCCCCAGCTCTGTCCCAGGTCTGAGTTCTGGGGTCAGGGCCCTCATCTGTGCAATAGGGGTAACAGTACCTGTCCTGACCACTTTCCTGGAGTGGTGTGAAGCTCCAACAAGAAAACGAGTGTTTATTTAGGGAGTAATGTCATTATCACCTTCCCTAATTTAGATCCCTTCCCCTCCCATCTTTAATCCCCAAAATGCAGCCTGACCTCAATCCAGGACTCTGACTCCTTGCACTGACCTCTCCCCTCCAGGTGATCCAGGGGAGTCGATCGAGTCTGACTACCCGCAGTGTGTCAGACATTCGCAGTGTCCCTGGCCAGCCCTCAGACAACTTCAACATTGGCCTCTATGAGGTGAGTCTGAACCCCAGCCAGGCTAAGCTCTACTCCAGGATGGTGAAGAGGGAGGGATGCCCAGGCTCTGGGCACACTCTAAAGGCAGGCATGCAGTCATGTCAAATCCTTCGGGTTCCAGGAAAGGGATCTGGGGAAAGCTCATGGACTCCTCAAAGGAGAGCATCTGGGAGTCCTCCTTGCCCCTGTTATTTTTCCTTAGCCATTATCCAGGTGAACATGCTGGGACCAACATTCAGCGTGGTGTGACCACTGAGGATACCTCCTGCTCTGTTGGGATCCCCTGGTCCTGCTGTCTCAGCATTTCAACTCAATTCAGATCAGGCTCAGGAACAGCAAGCCCTAGAGAGGAAAAAGAAAGTCACAAAAGACCATTAGGACATTAACCATGGGCCAGCAAATCTGGATGTGGTGGGATGGATGGGAGATAATGAGGACAGATTCAGAGGGAGCTCAGAGAAACCTCAGCTAATCAAGAAAAGAATGGCTAGAGCTCCTGAGCTTCAGGTCACGGGAGAGATGTACTGGCTCCTATGATGCCACCTAGAGATCACCACGACTGTTTCCAGAGGGCGCACTGTTGTTGTTGTGGACAGGTTGTTGTATAGGACTACCTTGTGTCTTGAAGGATGTTTAGGGTCTCTTGTCTCTCTTGTCTCTGGTCTTGACCACTAAATGCAGTCCCAGTTTTTATGACAAAAATGTCCTTACATTTATTTCCAAATGTTCCTTTGGGGTCATACCAAGCCCTCACAATTCCCTTCCAGTCCAAATCTTTTACCAACAGACAGGGCCACCTACATAATTAGCAAAGTCCAGGGCAAAATTGAAATGAAGGCTCCTTATTCATTCAAGATCGTTGAGCCAAGCTCGGATCCTTCTGAGCACAGGACCCTGTGCAACTGCACAGGTCACACGTTCATGAACTAGCCCTGCCATTGTGACCCTGAGAGCCACAATGAGGCCCAGTGTCTGGAGAGTAACTGCCAATAGTGCACAGTCAGTTTCCAATAAAGCCTGTATTCTACCTGGATTCTTGACCACTTACTGCAGTCGAGTGTGATGAGTGTTATGATGTCAATGACATTCGTAGTTGTAATGATTCACTTAAGGACTGTAGGTGGGTGCATCTGGGGTGGTGAGGACAGCCATACAGACCTTCTGCATCTCTTTCACCCAGGGGTAGCTCTCACCCAGTTGGCTTTGGATTGGATGGGCAGACATCAAACCCTTTGCCCTGATGCTCTTTGTCACATGGAAGTTGCATTCTGGGACAGGGAGCCAATGGAAATGTGGGAGTGCTAAGACTCCTTACATCGTGGAGTTTTTTGTTGTGTTTTGAATCAGAGTCTCACTCTGTCGCCCTGGCTGGGGTGCAGTGGCACACTCACAGCCACCACAGCCTCAACCTGCTGGTCTCAGGCAATTCTTCCACCACAGCCTTTCAAGTAGCTGGAACTAAAGACACGTGCCACCACTCCTGGCTAATTTTTTATTTATTGTACAGATGAGGTCTCGCCATGTCGCCCAGGCTGGTCTTGAGCCCGTGGGCTCAGGTAATCCTCTTGCCTCAGTCTCTCAAAGTGCTGGGATTACAGGCGTGAGCCGCCATGCCCAGCTTATCATAGAGTTTTAAGATACTGAGTTCCCTACCCTCATCTTTTGTGCTGCAGGGAGACAGGGTTTGGATGAAGAAATTTCCAGGGGATCGGCACATAGTTATCCGCCCAGCAACCAAGATAGCCTTCTCCAAGGTGAGAATTGGTCCTGGGATTGGGCATGGGGTGGCCATTGGTTCCTATCTTCTTGCCTTCCCTTTACAGCTGGGTACAGAGGGAGGTCTCACTTAAGCATCCCCTCCACTCCAGAGCAGGTTTTCCATTACTCCCTCTCATACCACTAATTCCTTTGCTGTTTTTTTTTTTTTTTTTAATTAGTTATCTGTGTGCTTGCTTATTTTTTATCCGCCTCCCTCACTGGACTGTAAGCTGAGTGAGGGCTTCCCCATGCCCCTCCATTGTATTCCCAGCACCCAACATGGAACATCAGAGAGACCCAGTGAATGTTTGTTTAGAAAAATTTAAAAATGAGTTTCCAGTTCTGTCAGGCCATTTGTGCAGAACAGCCCTAGCTATGTTGACACATACTGAATAAAGTGTAAAGTTAGCAAGGAGACTAGAAGCTTATTCTGATCCTTCCAATCTTAATGTTCTCCTTCCCTCAACATCATGCAGCCTTGGCCGGGTCCCTTTCCCTGAGTCCTCCATAGGAGCTCTTGGACAACTTGTATAGGTCAACAGACCACGTCACCATTTTACACTGGGCATTTAAAAGGAAAAGAAGCCCCTTATTAGACACGTGAACCAATTAAAAGCTAGACAGGGCACCAGTTGGCTGGCTAACCCCCATTTTTCCAGCATGCCCAGATTGTAAGGGCACTCTGTCCTATGGAGTAGTCAGTCCTGTCTCCCCTAACTTGGGGAAGATGGAAGTCTCAGACATATCTGACACAGTAATATGAAACCAAACAAAATAGCCCCAGACCAGGTTGCAGCCACCAACCATTTTTGATGTCCTTTGAAAACAGCACAGCTTCTCCCTGGTTCTCCTGGCAAAGACTGTTACATCAGAAGGAAAGGGTGGTGGTGCCAGGGACTTCTTCATGAGGTGTTTCCCTTAAGACTCAGACAGTTCAAAGTTTTATGATTAATAAATCAGAGCCTGCCTGAGTCTGGATCACCAATGAAAGTTTGTCTTTTCTTTCATAATTTTAAGCTAAACCATACTCAGTATCTGAACAGTGGCCTTTGACTATTTTGGTTTTTTTCCTGTAAAATAACCCCCCCCATATCCTATAGATCATTTTAAAAATCCCATCTTCTGAGTTTGGATCTCCAAAAACAGATCTTGAGTTATGGCCCTCTCCCCTCCCCACATCGCCCCTAGGGCAGAAAATGCCTGTCAACTTTCCCATTCTCAGCTCCAGGAGCTCCGGCACGAGAACGTGGGCCTCTACCTGGGGCTCTTCCTGGGGCGGGAAGCAGAAGGTCCTGCAGCCGCCTGGGAGGGCAGTCTGGCTGTGGTCTCAGAACACTGTGCACGGGGCTCCCTCTATGACCTCCTCGCCCAGAGAGACATAAAGCTGGACTGGATGTTCAAGTCCTCCCTCCTGCTGGACCTCATCAAGGTGTGTGTTAGGGCGGGGAGATTTCCTAAGGGCAGAGAGGGGGCAGCAGGGGAACCTGGCGGCCTGAAGCTGCCTCTTACCCCACCCCTTCCAAGGGAATGAGGTATCTGCATCATCGAGGCGTACCTCATGGGCGGCTTAAGTCACGGAACTGCGTAGTGGACGGGAGGTTTGTGCTCAAGGTCACCGACCACGGCCACGGGCGACTACTGGAAGCGCAGAGGGTGTTACCAGAGTCTTCCAGCGCAGAGGGTAGGTGTCCCATGCACACAAGCATCCTCTTGGGTCCCCATTACTTCAAGGCCCCCCCCATCTCTTCTTTCCTCTCTCTCTCTGCCTTTGCTCTCTCCATCCCACATTCACTGGACACGATGACTCCTGCTATGGAAAAGGTTTTGTGGTCTCTGAGAGATGTAGGGGTGGGATCTATGACTGAGGAGGCAGAGACTCGCTAGGAGGTGGGATTTGTGCTCAAGCTGCCTGGACCTCGGGTGGGCTCTAAGTGGAACTCTGCCTAAGGTTGGGGTTTGTGCCCAAAAAGCAAAGTCTTCCTTGGGCACCGCTTAGTCTGAAGGGCAAGGCCCATTTTGCAGGCCGGGCTTTCTCTAAGATGGCTTTGGATTTCAGGTGGTCTCTCCTAGGGATAGTCACAGGGCTTCAGGGCCAGGCTCAGGCTGTGAGGTTGGTGTGTGGATGCAAGCCTAGGTTTTCTGGTGAGGGTGAGAGTCTTTCCCCAGAGCTCCCACTGGCCCTCCGTATGCCCACGTTCCCTTTCCTGTCCCCAGATCAGCTATGGACAGCCCCGGAGCTGCTTAGGGATCTGGCCCTGGAACGCCGGGGAACGCTGGCCGGTGACATCTTCAGCTTGGGTATCATCATGCAGGAGGTCGTGTGCCGCAGCACCCCTTACGCCATGCTGGAAATGACTCCCGAGGGTAAGGTTGCTTCTCCCTGGGAGTTCGGACCAGAGTGGCACCCTGCAGTTAGGACAGAGCTAGACCAGACCCAGCCCTGTTCTTTTCTCTAAAGCAACACCCAGTGATGAGACTTAATTATGTGGGGGCTCCTTTAAAGCTGGGGCCTGAAAGTCTGGGCAGTGGAAAGCCAAGCCTCAGGATAGGAGGTGTGACTCTTCAGGTCCTAGGATTCAGCAGCTTCCTCTGTCCTGATCTGGACCCAACTTGCTACCCCAATTGACAGAACAGGCTCCTCTTTGGTTCTCAAAGGTCTCAGGGATGCAATATAGGGAGTGGGAAGGGTGTCAGAGGGTTGTCCAATCTGGTTCAAATCTGCATCACTTATCTATAAGACTCTGAGCAAGCTACTTGATTAATTAACACTCCTCCACCCATTTTTTTGTTTGTTTGTTTGTTTGGTTTTTTTTATTTTGAGTTGGAGTCTCACTTCGTCACCCAGGCTGGAGTGCAGTGACACACTCACGGCCACCCCAGCGTTGACCTGCTAGGCTCCAGCGATCCTTCCGCCTCAGCCTTCCAAGTAGCTGGAACTACACATGCACACTACCATGCCCAGCTAATCTTATAAAAATTATTTTTATTGTAGAGACGAGGTCTTGCCATGTTGCCCAGGCTGGCCTCGAACCCGTGGGCTCAGACAATCCACTTGCCTCGGCCTCCCAAAGTGCTGGAATTACAGGCTGAGCCACCGTCCCCCAACCTTTTTTTCACGTGCAATGAGTATGTTTCTTTGCCTGTGTCCCCTCTTACTGACCTGCAGGGTTTAGGGTTCTCTTGTTCCTCCTAGCAACCCCCTTCCACACTACACTCTCCCACCCACTGAAGCTCTGATTGAACCCTTGCCAGGCCCCACAACTTGGTCTTCAACAGCCAGGTCAAGGTCAGAGGTGGCATCTTTTCTTGGGTGTCCACCTCTCACTGTCTCCTTGTGCCTCCAGAAGTGATACAGAGGGTGCGGAGCCCCCCTCCACTGTGTCGGCCCTTGGTGTCCATGGACCAGGCACCCATGGAGTGCATCCAGCTGATGAAGCAGTGCTGGGCAGAGCAGCCGGAACTTCGGCCCACCATGGACCGTACTTTCGAACTGGTCAGGGGTTGGGGCTGGGATTGGGAAAAGGCTGGGCTGGCCACTGGGATTTCGAATTCTTATCAGCAACCTGGGAAGGCTGTAGACAGGCAGCCTGGCTGGCAGGACCTCTGACCTTCCAGGCTACCTCCTAAGGGGTAGCTTAAGGACTGGGAGTTTGGTGGGGCAGAGTTAGAATGGGGGTGAGATAGAATAGGGGCGTATGGAGGCCTTTGGAGTGGTAGATTCTCTGAATGGGAGAAATCTTCAGTTCAGCTCCAATAAAATTGTCTGGCTGTGGTGGCTCATGCCTGTAATCCCAGCACTTTGGGAGGCCAAGGGGGGAGGATTGCTTGAGCCCAGGAGCTCGAGACCAGCCTGGGAAACACAGCAAGAACTCCTCTCTTCAAAAAAGAAAAAAAGAAGTCAATTATTAGCTGAAAACAACTGACCTCTGGGCACCCTCATTTCCCATGTACCTGCTAATAATGTCTGAAAACTGCCCAGTACCCTGGGCGTGCTTGATGAATAAAAGATGAGTGGTAGTGAGGAGATCAGGAATACACAGTCCCAGGAGAGCCCTTGAGAGGAGCATGGTAGTCCAGGTCTTCAGCTTCACCAGCTTTCTCTTCTTCATCCTACTAGTTTAAGGGCATCAACAAGGGCCGGAAGACAAACATCATTGACTCAATGCTTCGGATGCTGGAACAGTACTCCAGTAACCTGGAGGACCTGATCCGGGAGCGTACAGAGGAACTGGAGCAGGAAAAGCAGAAAACAGATCGGCTGCTCACACAGATGCTGCCTCTGTGGGTGCTAATGGGGAGAGGAGTGGGTGGGGAGGGCAGCTGAAACCCAGCCAGGCTGGAGTGGCCCCCTGGTGAATTCACTGCCTGCCATCCCTAGGTCTGTGGCTGAGGCCTTGAAGATGGGGACACCTGTGGAGCCCGAGTACTTTGAGGAGGTGACCCTGTACTTCAGTGACATCGTGGGCTTCACCACTATCTCAGCCATGAGTGAGCCCATCGAGGTGGTGGACCTGCTCAACGATCTCTACACACTCTTCGATGCCATCATCGGTGCCCATGATGTCTACAAGGTGGAGTGTGTAGGGAACAAGCACTCCCGACCTTCAATTCGGCTTCACCAGCCTCCTGCTCTGCCCTGAGCCCACCTGCCCTATCCTTTTTCTCAGCCCTCCTGCCCATCACTTATTCCTCCAGTCCCCAGCTCAGTCCAAGACTGGCAACCTGGTTCCTCAGGATGTCTGCACTAACCCCAGTTAGGCCTCCTGCCAAGGACTAATTGCTTTGGGTATTGGGGGCTGGAGTGCTCAGTACTGAATCTGAGCAACTCCTTCTTCCAGGTGGAGACAATTGGGGACGCCTATATGGTGGCCTCAGGACTGCCTCAGCGGAATGGGCAGCGGCACGCTGCGGAGATCGCCAACATGTCGCTGGACATCCTCAGTGCCGTGGGCACTTTCCGCATGCGCCATATGCCCGAGGTGCCCGTGCGCATCCGCATCGGCCTACATTCAGGTAACTCCCTGAGCCTCGCAGACTCCAGCCCATCTCTCCCTTTAGGGCCTGGCTCCAGATTTCCTATGTAGGGAGCAACTCGTGGCGTGGGAATGGGGTGGGGGCGGGGCTTCCCTTGAAGAAGATATGCTTGAGAGTGTTTATTTAGGGAGCTGGTGGAGCTCATGGGGTGCAAAGTTCCCCCAAGGCCCTAGGTGCGACCTAGCCGCCAGCCCCGCCCGCCGGCCCACCCACGCATCTCCACAGGCCCTTGCGTGGCGGGCGTGGTGGGCCTCACCATGCCGCGGTACTGCCTGTTCGGAGACACAGTCAACACCGCCTCGCGCATGGAGTCCACCGGGCTGCGTGAGTGTGACGGGAAGGAGGGGTTGGGAGAGGTGGGCGGGGCCCGAGGGGGAAAAACGGCCCGGGAGGGGGACATGAGAGGTGAGTGCCCAGCTCACGGTGTACCCGCCGCCCCAGCTTACCGCATCCACGTGAACTTGAGCACCGTGGGGATTCTCCGCGCTCTGGACGCTGGCTACCAGGTGGAACTTAGAGGCCGCACGGAGCTCAAGGTGAGGCCGGGCCCTGCCACCTCCTGGGCGGGGCCTGGAAGATACAGCTCGCCCTTCCGGACCCGGGGTCTCCCAGTTCCTTTTAGACTCGAGATCCTCCACCCTCCGCAGTCCGCTTAAGTCCTTCCCTACTCCGTGTCTCCCCAGGGCAAGGGCGCCGAGGATACCTTCTGGCTGGTGGGCAAACGCGGCTTCAACAAACCCATCCCCAAACCACCTGACCTGCAACCGGGGTGAGGGGCCGGCATTTACCGGCGGCGCGAAGGACGCAAGACTAGCATGGCAGGGCGGGCCCCTTCGTCCCTTTTCCCTGCCTCCTGCTCTGTGTCTGACCCTGGCGCAAAGCAGCGATGACCTGGGCCATGCCCTCCCACCCTCTATTGCCCTCCCTTGAGGCCACCACCATCTCCCCGCAGGTTCAGCAACCACGGCATCAGCCTGCAAGAGATCCCACCTGAGCGGCGTCGGAAGCTGGAGAAGGCGAGGCCGGGCCTGTTCTCAGAGAAGTGAGACCCGGCCGCGGACAGGTGCTGCCCCCTCGGCTCCCACGTCCAAATGCCGTCTCCCCTCAGACTCTGGGGCCATAAACCTCTAGAGATGCTTCCTAGGGGACAGGTGCCTCTTCACCAGCCTGAGGGCCTAGTGCTACCAGCAGAAAGTCCCATCCAAGCCAGTTGTTCCAATTCTTCTCTGACTTAGAACCCAGGCTGGTTCTTTAAACCCGGGGATTTCCCCTCGGAGGGACACACCCGCTGGGATTTTGTAGGTCAGAGTCGTCCAGGAATCCGGGTGTAGGAGACCCTGTCATCAGGACCTTCTGTGACCCCTCCCCTGGTCCCACCTCCCTGGTCTCTTCCAGAAACCTCTCGGGCTGTGCACTGCCCAAGAGACAGACCTATAGGGGGCAGCAGTCACCAGAGAACAATAAAAGTTGCCCTTGGGAGTTCTGTTAGAGCAGAAGCCCTACCCAGTAGCCTCCTTCAAGAAACTGATTCATGACCCGCTCCTTCCTAGGTGAGCCCCCCATGACCCCATTTCTTGACTACCTTCTAACTGAGACACTCCTCTTTTCCTCAGGGTTGTTCTTGAAGGCCTTTTCCTGAAAGTTGCTGCTAGAGGTGACCAAAAGTCTGGTTAATGCTGGTGGCCTCTGTCCAACTCTGCCTCAAAGGATTCTGGGCCTTTACAAGAGCTGGTTTCAGACCAGCCATGTGACCTGGGAAAGTCTCATGTACTCTCCAGGCTTGGGTTCCTCTCAATGGTGAAATGAGGGGTGGCCTAAGTGGTTTCCACAACCCCTATGACCCTGACTGCTAGACTTTAGAATGGCTGGCCTTGGGATATGGAACATTGTGGCATCTGGCTCCCAGCCCCAGGGACTCTGAACCCATCAGGGGATGTTGGGGTGGGGGATTCTCTACTTTCCAGGGTCTCTCAGGGACCCAGAAAGGAGAATGTGGGATTGGATGCCCCAACCCCAGAGGAGATAGAGTCCTTGTGTTCCACCAGAGCAGGGTTTGTCATATGGCCTGAGGAACCAAGGGCTTCTGTTTAGCCTCAAACCTCATTCCTGTCTCAATTCTCACCAGTCTAAAACTGGCTCCTTCTCCTGTGGGTATAACCAGGTAACTTGCCCAAGTGCAGAGAAAAGCTTGCTTCAAGGCTTTGGGGAAAGGAAAACAAATTGCACCAAACCTTTACTAACCAGAACATCCGAAGAATAGTAGTCTCTGTTTAACTGGACTCTGCTGAGCAGGCAGCTGGACAGAAAAATCCTCTCCGCTTAGATCTTTGCAACAAGTGTCGATGCCCTGTCCTGGCAAGTCCCCAGCTGAAGTTTTCTTTGTGAAACTCCGACGTTCCAGAGCCTGGGCCTTGGTATATTTGACTCTTGGTGTCCCTCACCATTGCTACATACCCTGGAAGAAGTTAGTGGCAGCCGCAGCTGCCCAGGCTGCCACCATAGGTAGTGAGTACCCAGTCCCTGGAGGTATGCAAGCAGAACTGGAGACGTCATTGAACAGAGTTATTACAGAGAGAATTCCTGAACTAAATCCTCACTCCGCCAAGTGTAGTAGATGGACCAGAAGCATTGGTATCACCTGGGAACTTGTCGGAAATGCAGAATTTCAAGTCCCACCATGTCTACTAAGTCAGAATCAGCATTTTAATGAGTTTTCTCAAATACTTATCTGCACATTAAGGTTTCTGAATCATAGAACTTAATGATCCTATAATCTCTTAAATCTTAGAATCTCTAAGGTGTCATAAAAGCCAGCCTAGAAGCTAGCCATCAAATATGTTTCGTTTGGCCCATGGGGTGTTTTTGTTTTGAGCTAACATTTAAAAATCAAGAGATTCCACATTTATTAAATGTATAGCAGAGTTCTCTCTTCTCTTGAAATCAAACGTCCTATGTGGGGCTTGCATCACCACTTAGCAACATTCTGCTTTAGCTTAAAGAGTGACAGCCATTTTTATCCAGGGCATCACACTTCAGTTCTCATGGTCCCCACGGACTTCAAGACACCAAAGTTTTCTGAACATCCCTTTTATACCTGCCTGTCGCCTGTAGACATGCTGCTTAGGACTCCTTAACAGATGTTAGGATTTTAGGGGCTCCTGGAGGTTGATTTGCTTTTTTTTTTTTTAAGCTGATTCTTGAATTACACAAGCTTAGTGGTCTGCCCCTCCTTTCTAAAGGTTAAAGGAAAGAGGGTATAAGAAATCCAAAATCCAGCATTTGTAAGTTCTGGTTACCTAAGGTGGTGTTGCAATAGTGAGTAATTTAGTGCAATTTTTTAACATTTTAAATTGTGTTCAAATATGAATTAAAGGTTAAAACAAAAACATGCGCACGCATGTGTGCGCACACACACACACACACACACACACACACACACACACACTTTTTAAAAGTTTATTTACGTTTCTAAACATCTTCCTTAAGATTTTCTCTGTACTTAGGTCCCAGGAATTGAAGGGCAGATTCCACATTGCTGGCCTTGGACCTGACAGTGTGGATGCAGCTCTTGATCTCCTGCCTCTCCCCGTCCTACCCCATCTCACAACCCTT